AAAAAAAAAAAAAAACAGATACAGAGCATGCTTTGTATCCGGCTCAGGGAAATACCATTATGGAAATGCCAGGTATAAGAAGAAACGGCATCTGAATAGAAAGAAACATAGTATCATCAGGGTTGCCCTCAGCGTGAGACCAGATATCTCCCATAAATCCAGTATAGGTATTGGTGAGGTCCCTGGCCTTCCTTCGCTTTGGGGAAGACACTTCGTTATGGCTAGAAACATCAAGGTCAGTTAAAGCATTGTTGTGGGTGATATCATTCGCAGTTGTAGACCTCAGACTGGAGAGAGATACTTCACTCTTACCACTTCTGCCATCTGACAAAGTAGAAGAATGTTTGTAGTCATCCATTGTAGATGACTGAACGTGTCCATACGTCTTCGATGTCTTTTTTATTGTGTTACCGGAGGGTATCCTTGCGTAAAGATAAAGTTTCACTCTTCCCATTTCCTGCTGCAGCACCCTCTGAAGAAGAACCGTGGTCCCCATTCTTGGGCGGCGCATTGGACTCCGATGTCACTGCGTGAGGCGGCGCATCCTCGCCCCGAAGGGTGTGGGGGGAATCTTTCTCTTCAGAAATCTCCCGGCTGGTGCTGGGATTTCCGCGGCGGGCGGGCGTTGGGGTGAGAAGGGTGGTTGTCGGCCCGCCGGCCGTGGGTCGGTGAAACTCGGCGTTTGGGAGGGCGGCGGCGGCTCGATTTTCCGGAGCCCCTCTCGCCGCCGCCGGTAATCTCGGGCGGTTTGCGTTGCCCATTTGGCTGGGGGAAGCGGCGGAACTTTCCCGGCCGCGCCCGCGGGAGGAACGCCAATGTCGCACCGCAGCGCCTTCAGGGAAACGAACGGCCGGTCGGGCGGCGCGTCTCCGGCCCTGTCTTTGCCGAGGTTGTCTTCGGGATCTGGTGCGTGGTAGGCCCTTGTGGGGGCAAATGAGATGAATGGGGCGGGGTGACGGACGTCATTGATATTATTATTATTTTTTTTTTTTCCTGTTTCCCGACCCCTGTTGGGATTTATTTTTGTTTTCTTGTGGCGCGGCCGTGTGGGAAACGCATGTGTTTCGTTCGTGGATGTTATCGTTGCCATTTTTTATTTATATTTTTCCTGTGTTCGTGTTTGGTTTCTTTTTATTTTTCGTGGAATGTTTTGTTTGCTGAATTGTTTTGAATGTAATGTTGTTGTCAACGTCTTTTTTTTTTTTTAATTTACTAACGTTTATTTTTTTTTTTTTTAACAGAAAAAAAACGTGAACTTTTTGTGATTCTATTTTTTCTGATGTTTGCAATGTGCCGGCCGCCCTTTTTTTTCTACTACGTGTGTGTTTTGATATAACTTTATTTGTCTTGTTTTTTTTTAAAAGGAAAAAAAATCTATTTGTTTTTTTTCATTAATCTCTTTGAATTCAATATAAAAAAAGGTTTGTGTGGTTTTTTTGTATTATTTATTTATTTATTTATTTATTTATTGTTATTATTATTATTATTATTATTATTTATTATTATTATTATTATTATTATTATTATTATTATTATTATTATTTGTTTATTTATTTATTGATTATTATTATTATTATTATTTTATTATTTTATTATTGTTAATGTTATCACATTATTATTTTTTATTTTTATTCACAACATAAGGGTTTTTTTTGTAGATTGTATATATATATATATATATATATATATATATATATATATACGTTCTCCCTATTCTTAGTGAAATCAAGAAATCATGGACAAGGCAAGACCGTTTGAGTACGTGTACCGCCTACCCTCATCTACTCTTGAAGAATTGACTTACAGGGAGGCTGTGTACGACCGTCAGGTACTTCTGAATGAAACATGGGAATCATATGCATTGCGAAAAGGACGATTAAAAGAGTTAGAAGATGAGCACGTCAAGTGGATCACTCGTACCTGGGACGATGAGGAAATAGCAAGGGATGAACAACGTTCTGTTTTAGAAAAAGCAGACTATGAATGGAAGTTGGAGAGTGCCGCAAAAGAAAGAGAAATGGGGAGAAAAAAAGAAAGGTCGTTAAAAACGGTTGAAAAACTTATGGCTTTTGAAGAACGTTCTTTTGCTGATAGAATACCATGTCGTCATAATTTGTACGTTGATTTTGATCTTTTTCAACAGCAAAAGTTTATTGGAGAACAAAATATTATTTCCATGGCAGAAAATATGTTAAGGGTTTTTATTGAAGAAGCGGAGGATGGAATTTGTTTTGGGATTGCTTTGATTGGAGAATGTAATAGAATTATGTATTTAACAAGACTTCAAGATAGATTGTTAAAGGAAGAGGAAGAGCGACAGAGAATTGCCGAAGAACAACGACGACTACTTGAAGAAGAAAAACGAAAAGAAGAATTGCGACAAAAAGAATTGGAAGAAGCTGAAAGACTTCGAAAAGAAGCTATGGAACAAGCTAAAATTCTTGAAAGGAAGAAACGTGACGAGGAACGTCGTGCAAAGGCAAGATCTGAAAGGGAGAAAATAAGGCAGCGTCAGAGTGTTGTAGATTTTATTGTAGCAACAGAAGAATCTCCTCCAAAACTTACCGCTTCAGATGTTGTGGCAACAACTATTGAACCCACACTACCAGTTTCTGAAAATGTTATTCCAACTTATTCTGATCGAAAATGTATAGTTTATTCTCAACCTAAAGGTGATGATGTTATTTCTCTTATCAAAAACGCATCTTCTATTTTGTCTGATGCAGGTGATTGTTCTTATGTTATGAGTATTGATAAGATAGAAATGAAATCAACTGTAATATGTGAAAATGGTTCACTTTTTGGAGAAACAAATAATAATGAATCTCATCGACTTTTGGGAAAAACAATCAACGAAAAGACTGCTATATCGATTTCTTCAGAAAAACTTCATGGAACTAAAGTATTTTCTTTAGAGAATTATTATTCTTCAAGGGTAGAATATGTTTTAAATAGTCGTACAAATGATAAATGTTTTTTATTTGATTCATCTGCTTCAAAAAATGACGAATCTATTGTTTTCTTACCATTATTAGTCTCTGGGTTTAATTATGCACCTTATGTTTTTGCAGTGTCCCGTAATGGATCTGAAAGTTTTCAACCCAATGAAGTAAAAGAAGCTGCAAAAGTTGTATGGGAACTCAGTAATTTAATTAATTTGTATCTTGAAAAAGAAAAAAAGATTCAATTATGTCAGCAGTGTGTTGAGTGGCTTACTACTGTTACAGGTTGTAATGATTGTTATGTATCTTTACGAGATCAAGAAAATGATGAACTAATATATGTGGCAGCTTCTCCATCGCATAATTTTATGATTGGAAAGAAACATTCTCTTATTGAAGAAAAAAATGGTGTTGGTATTAGCTTTAAAGCATGTGAGGCAGCATCACAAGATGGAAATTGTATGGTTTTTTGTATTGATGATATTAGTGATAACTCTTGTATTCCATTTGAAAATCAAAAAGTTAAAATCTTTTCAGAGGAACAAAAAACAGGAAGTTTACTTTTAGGAACGTTAACTGGTAAGAATGATAATAAAGAATGCGTTTCACTTGGTGTAGTTTTTATGGATTATCTCGGAACAGATAAGAAATTTACTGATTCTGAAAAGGAAATTTTTAAAACTGCTCTTGAAATGCTTTCAAATCTTCTTTTAAACCATACAAATGATTCATCTCTGGGAAAACGTTTAAAAATTGAGGATGATATTGAGGGTTTAAGTTCCTCATCGATTACTTTTTTGAAGTCTCTTTGGAGCCATACACTTAATACTCTTAATAATATTACTCCAAGTCAATTGTCGGAATTGGGAAATTATTTACATCCACCCCCTATTATTCCATTGGTTGTACAAGCTACACTCATTATTGCATTGGGATCAAAACCCCAAAAAGTTGCAAAATGGGAAGATGCAAGGGAGAAAATAACAAATAAACTTCTTGCAAAGATGTCAGATTTTGATCCCACAGATCCAAAGAAAAGAAAAAAAGCTTTTTTTGTTAGAGGAGGAAAAATGTTGAAGGGTTATGGTGTCAAGGATGTTTTTGAGAAAGGTTCTTACCCAACAAGTTGTTTCTTTTCTTGGACTTTTGCGGCTATTCTCTTGCGTAAACATGCCGATATATTACGTAAATCAAAAAGCAAGAATGGAACCAATCTTGAGTTTGAATATCGTTCTTCAGTAGTCTCAGAAGAGGAAGGAGATGAAGATAATGAACCCGATAGTGAATCAGAGGAGGACGTATGAAGAGTATTAAGGTAATATGATGCCAATGGAAGAAGAGGGGAAACAAATAGCTGCTGAAGATTGTATGTACATGGGGATTTGTCCATGTATAATGACAAAAAAAAAAATGTAAATGTTGTTTGAAGATATATATTTCTTTTTTTTTTCCTTCCATTTTTTTTCTTCTTTATAGAGTTGTTTTGAATGTAAAACTGAATGGATTTTTTCTTTTTTTTTCCTTTTCTTCTGAGAAAATTTTTTAATCTGAAACGAAATATATATTTTTTTGGTGGATTTTGCTATTTTATTATTATTATTATTATTATTATTATTATTATTATTATTATTATTATTATTATTATTTCCTTCTTTCTTTCATATTATTTATTTACTGTTTTGTGGGAATTATAGTATTTTGCCGTTGTGGTCTGATAGGTAGATATGCCTCCCAAAAGGCCTAAACTGGAGCATCTTCATTTAGCTCCTGAGGAAAAGGCTGTATCGATAACAGACACCTTGACATTAGTTGTAAAGGGAGATGGTGGTCTTGAGATGCGCGTGAAGGAAAGTGGTATCGCGTCTGGACCAACAGTTCGGGCTCAAGCAGCAGAAGAAAATAGTGATGCAAATAATATACTTATGGATAAGATAAGATTTGAAGATTTACGCATTTGTGATGAACTTGGAAAGGGATCTCAGGGAAAAGTGAAACTTGTTCGACATCTTCCATCAGGAAAGAAATATGCACTTAAATATATTCAATTGGAGGGTGATACAGATGACATGCGTCAGGCACTTGAATCTGAGTTACGGCAAGTGAAAGCCTTAATGCATAAGAATCTTGTTTCCTCTTATGAGGCTTTTTTTACTGATGGGAGACTTTGTATTGTGCTAGAGTACATGGATGCTGGGAGCATGGTAGATGTCCTTAAGCGGCACTCCCGAAAATTCAATGAGGAAATGCTGGCGTATGTAGCAAGAGAGCTTCTCCAGGGTTTAGAACACCTTCATGCTTCAAAAATGCTTCACCGTGATATAAAACCCGCTAATGTTCTTGCAAATTCTGAGGGAGAAGTTAAAATAGCGGATTTTGGAGTAGCCAAAAGATTTTCTGGTGGTGATGTAGAAACATTGTCAGCTCAGGGATCTGTTGTGTATATGAGTCCTGAGCGAATAAATGGACAGCCGTATTCATTCAGCAGTGATATTTGGAGTGTTGGTTTAACGATAGCAGAATGTGCATTGGGAAGGTATCCCTTCAATTCGATGAAAAACAATCTATTTGATCTTTTGCAGGCTATTGCTACAAGATCTGCAAAAATTGATTGGTCTGCCGATGGTCGTGAGCACAGTCCTGAACTTATTGATTTTATCGATCAATGCCTTCGTCCAGCTGATTCGCGACCGACGGCAACAGAGTTGCTACAACACCCATTTATTCAAAAGGCGTCAAAAATAGACCCTGCTTGCGCTGGGAAGTGGTTTATTACTCAATCTTAACTCCATTTTTTTTTTTTTTTTTTGGTGAGAATATGTGTGATCCCACTGCTGATATGTTATCTCTTTCTTTATATATCTATCTATATATATATATATATATATATATATATAAAGAGAGAGAGAGAAAGAGAGCGGGTGTGTGTGTTATTGGGTGTGTAATGCATTGGTGGAACTGGTTCTCTTGCTTAGTGTCGTTCTTTTTTTTTTTCTTTTTTTTTGTATTTTTGGCCCTTTATTTTTACGGTATGGGGGTATAGGTTTTTTTTCGTAATTCATTAAGTGTAGATAAATGCCACCAAAAGAAAGCAAAACTTCTAAGAGTGAAAGGGAGTTATTAGATGAGGAGCAACAACTCAATGACGAAATTGTGAAGATGAGTTTGCGTTTGTCTGCCTTAAAGGCACAACATTCTAGTCGTCTTGAAGAGATAGCATCTTTAAAACGTGATCGAGATGGACTATGGAGTTCATGTGGAAAGTGTGAGGATGATCTAAATACTGCTACTATGAATAGAGTAGATGTCTTGACGGATTTTGCGCGTCAGTACAAAAGTGAAGAAAGTATCAAAGTACTGGCGTGTATTCGGCTAGATACTGCCTTAAACCTACTTGAAGAAGAAAAACTCAGACTTGCTGATGAACTTAAAAGTACGGAAGTCGAGTATGAAGAGGCTATCAGTACAATGAAGAAAGAGTATGATTCTCTTGTAGCTCGAATTAGTGAGATGGAGAAGGAATTTGCTGATATAGTGGGGGACACAAACTCCAAGGTTACAAATGGTCAATTAACGCCAAGTGAGCTCTGCTGAAAATGGAATATGTACACCAAATCATATATATTGTTTTTTTTTTTCCTACTCTTTCGGATTATTTCTGTATTATAGTACCGATGAAAAAAAAAAAAAAAAGCACTTATGGTCCCTGGTACATATTTTATTCTCTTTTTACTTCTTCTGCTTCTTCTGTTACTAATACTATTACTAATACTACCAGGTATGAATGCCGTTTTTTGAGGTCTATGAAAACAGAATTGAGCCTATCCCCAAAGTAGAGGCTCCCAGAGTCTCTTCTTTTGAAGCTGAGGGATGTGGAACAGGTGGTATATCTGATGTTAGGATAGTGTCACTGGAGGGAAAGATAAATCCCGCTTCTACTTTTCGTCTGGCAAATGCAACACTTTCTCCTGTCAGAGTTCCTTTATTAGATCAAAATTCAGTTAGAAAAAAAAGGAGTTGTAAAGAACTTTTCCTAATGGAAAAAGAATTAAATTCTGTGACAGAGGATGTTTCTTGGTGTCTCTCAGAAATAAGCCAATGGCTATTAAGTAAAGAACTTGGGGATTCACCAGAGACTATGTTTAACACAGGAGAAGTTTTACACTCACTAGAGGATCGTTTGAATGAAGTCAGTCGACACTTTTATCATTTAACTAATGATAATTCCTTTTTGGAAAAGGAAACAATTCATAAGGCAGTTAGACGTATCAGTGGCATAAAGACATACCATAATATAGTTACTGTGGCTGAATCTATAGCCAACATGTATACCGGGTTATTGAATGCTAGGGTTCTGCCACAGTGCAGAGTAAGTACCATGAAACATGCCGAAGAAATTGCAAAACTCCTTGATGATATGGAGAAATCCGTTGAATTTCTTAATTCACAGGTAAACGCGTTGTCTACAGAATCACAGAGCGAAATAAGGAGTATAAAGAGTGCACTGGATTCCCTCTCTTGATAAACCTTCTTAATCTTTTTTCTTTTTTTTTTTCTTGGTATTATTATTATTATTATTGACTATAGTCTTTTCTTGACACTAAATTTCTATAGCCAAATCCTGATAGCAGGTTTATTTTTTTCGGTTGTTTTTTTTTTTTTTTTTGTCTCATTTTTTTTTTTTTTCTGTGTGTGTGTGTGTGCGTTTTGTGAACCAGGCTGGCAAGATGTTAGAGGAAGACAGAGAGGCTATTCGTAGAATGAAGGCCGATTTTGAGGCTATAGCAGAATTAACTGAAAGTGAGTTCAAATCTAATACAGGTTTTGCAAGACGTATGAATCACTACAGTACTGTTTATACGGCAGCGACACGAACCACGAACCTCAAATCTACCTCTGACTTTGCTGGTTACTACGTGGATGAGCTTCTGTATATGGACTTTCAAGAGATGCTTACACGTTATCTTCTAAAGTATCGCGATTTGCGAGCCCCATCAGAAATGCAATTATTTACCAAAGTTTTAAAGGTCTGGGAACATTACAAGGTTTTAATGAAATGGAACATGAGGACTTTTGCATATCTCTCTAGGTTTTATATTGTTAATTGTTCTAAACCATCTCTTCAACAAGTAGCTCTGAGTATATTTCTTGAACAAATTCTAAAAAAAAATACACAAACAATTAGTCGTGTAACTCAAGAACTTCTTTCAGCGGAAAGAAATGGTGAAGGAGTTAATCGTGATCAAATTCGAAGTGCCATTGAGTTACTTTCATCTGTTAGTATTGAAAAAAGGGAAGAAATATATACTGAACAGTTTCTGAGCCCTTTTTTGGAGTTAACTAAAAATCATTACGATAATCTACTTTCTGAATGGAGTAAATTATGTACACCTTCTGAATATTTACGAAAACTAGAACAGGTTCATAGCGAAGAAAAGGCTAGATGTGCAAGTTATTTTTCTTCAGAAGATAGACAAACTATCATGTTACACTTGGAAGAAGTTCTATTGGAATCTCCAGTAACAATAGAGAAATTACTTCAATCAAACGATGGTTTTATGGCTGCATTAAAAAATCGTGAAGAAGAACTTTTAAAATCATACTATAATTTGCTTTCTCGACGCACTAAATGTGTTTTAATACTATCTAGTCTTATGAGAGATGAAATTATTACTGAAGGTGAAGAACGATTACTGCAACCTTATAGTGAAGAAAAGGAAATAGACTTTAAATCTTGTGTTTCAGATATGATGAGGTTGCAAGATGATTTTCTCCGACTTCTTGCTAAATGTTTTAACAGCCATGTTATGATGCTTAAAGCTATAAGAGAGGGTCTTGAAAAAGTATATAGTGGTGGAGTATGTGCATCCAAAAGATCCCATCGGTGTGTTCCATTTAGTGAACTTTTAGCCTATTACGCTGATGCTATTCTTCAAGGTAATGGAAGTTCTACAGATGAAGAAGAATTAGAGCGAGTCGTTGCAGCTCTCACTTATGTAACTGATCGAGATACATTTCTTGCTCATTCACGTGATTTACTATCTCAGAGAATTTTGTTTCCACGTAAAAAAATTGATGAAGTTTCTGAACGATCTTTTGTTCAACGTGTTAGTCAACGTTGTGGTGTATCGAGTACAAGTTATCTTGAAGGTATGCTTCATGATTTAGATGTAGCTGAGGGTTTTAATGCAGAAGAAAAACTTGAGGCCATTGGTAAAAAACCAAAATTTGCATTTAATGTCCTTGTTTTGAAAAAAGGAATTTGGCCTACACGAATTCAAAGTGAATTTTTTACGCCTCCTTCTATGATAAAAGAAGCCTTGCAGGCGTTTCAAACAGTCTATCTTGAAGGTACGACAGGACGAGTACTTACATGGTCTTATTCTAATAGCAGTGGAGATGTAAATGCAGTTTTTAAAAAGGGTACAAAGACCCTTTTGTTGACAGGACCTCAATGTTGGTTACTTCTTGCATTTAATTCTGTGAAGAGATTAACCCCAAATGATGCAATGAACCTTTTTGGAATGTCCATGGAAGATTTAAAACCAGTATTTCTTCCTTTGTTGAAGTGTTCAATACTATGTAAGGAGGTTGATTCTCCTAATTTTCTACCTAATGATATATTTTCAATTAATGAAGAATTCTCAAGTAAATGGAAAAAAGTCCGAGTACCAACAGTAATTTCTCATCGTATTGGTATTTCTCATGGGGAGACGATAGCCAAAGAAGTTGATGAAGACAGGAAACCAGCTATAGATGCATGTTTGGTTCGTATTATGAAGAGCCGTCGTGTCATGAGTCATTCAAGTCTTTTGGAGGAGTGTCATCAGAAACTTTCACCCTTGTTTTTGGCTGATCCCAAAATGATTAAGCAACGAATTGAAGAATTGATAAGAAAAGAATATATTGAACGGGATCAAAAATCATCTGACGTATACAGGTATACTGCTTGATATATATATATATATATATATATATATATATTTTTTTTTTATTTTATTTATTTTTTTCTTGTATTAATGATGACTTAGGTTAAAAATGAAGTTTTTTATAGAGGATGTTGCAGTTCTATTTCCATATGAGTACATATATCCTGAACAGCTTGAGTATATGACCGAGTTAAAGAAGGGATTAGATCAAGGGGGACACATGGTTCTTGAGATGCCATCAGGAACTGGGAAAACGACAACTTTACTATCTTTACTTATAGGATATCTTCATCATCATGCTGATGAAAAACGTAAAGTTGTTTATTGTACTCGAACAGTTGAGGAAATGACAAAGACTCTCGGTGAACTACGTAAATTGCTGAAATTATGGGATTCTGAAGTAATATCTAAGAGGCCATTGCGTGGACTCTGTCTAACTGCTAAGAAAAATCTCTGTATTGAAACTAGTGTTGCATCTCAACGGTATCCAGAAGAAGTGGATGCAGGTTGCCGTAACCTCACTGCACCATGGCAAAAGGAGAGACGATGTGTCTACTTTGATAATCTTGAAAATGCAGCTTTTGATTTACCACCCGGAGCTTACTCTGTTGATGATTTGAAAAGTTTCGGAGAAGAACATCAGTTGTGTCCGTACTATTTAGTTAGAAAAGCATTACGTGTTGCAGATATAGTGGTTCATTCTTTCCTTTACATAGTTGATCCTATTGTTGCTGAAGTAACCAAGGAATACTTAAATGAAAATACAATTGTAGTGATGGATGAGGGTCACAACGTTGATGATGTGTGTATTGAAGCAATGTCTCTTATCGTAACAAAATATGATGCAATTCAGGCCAAAGAAAATGTTAAACAATTAAATGCCGCTGTTAATCATATGAAAGCTACAAATCGTCAACAACTTCAAGATGAATATGAGAGGTTAGTTAATGGTTTAGCTATGGCAGAGTTAGCACGTTCTATGGATAATGTTAGGGGATCTGTTCATGTACCCAATATTCCTCTAGATATTGCTGAGGAATCTATTCCTGGAAGTTTAAGACAGGCAAATCATTTTTTAACATTTATTCAACGACTTGTTGATTTTACTCACCGTGTAGTGAGTAGAATTTCACGCACATATGTATCCGATCCATTGACATTTTTGACAAAAGTAAGGGATGAGTGTGCTGTGGATATTCGTCATTTAAGATACTTAACGGAACGTCTGAAAGTTTTAATGAATACCCTTCAAATAACTAATTCACATAAATTTCGAAACGTAGCCTTGATTGCACAAATGTATATGATTCTTTCTACTTATTATACTGATGATCGGTACGAAAAACCTGGATTTGTTGTTGTTTGTGAAGCTCATGATCCAACCAGACCTACAGTACCTGATCCTGTTATTCGTCTTGTTTGTGTAGATGCTTCATTGGCCTTACGTGAGGCTTTTTCAAAGTATAAAAGTGTGATCTTGACATCTGGTACACTTTCACCATTAGATATTTATCCAAAGATGCTTGGTTTTACACCGGTGATAGCAAAATCCTTTCAAATGACTCTTAGTAGAAAGTGTATTGCTCCAGTTATTGTAACGAGAAGTACTGAGAGTGTTAATATAATAACAGAAGAAGTTACAAGTAGCTTCAGTGTGCGTATGAACCCTGTTGCACAAGAAATTGTTTCATCTGCATATGAAGATCTTTTGCGTGGTCTTGCAAAAACTGTACCTGATGGTATTGTTTGTTTTTTTACTGGATACCAATATATGGGAGAAGTACTGTTAGGGTGGCATAAGTCTGGATTTTTAAAGGAATTGGCACAGTATAAACTGATTTTTGTCGAAACTCAGTCTGTAGAGGAAACTTCAGTTGCTTTGGCTAATTACAGACGAGCGTGTGATATTGGACGAGGAGCTGTCTTTATGGCTATTGCCCGAGGGAAAATTGCGGAAGGAATTGACTTTGACCGTCATTATGGAAGAGCTGTTGTGATGTTTGGTGTTCCTTTTTTACCACCAAATGATGAACCTTTGAGGCAAAGGATTCATTGGATGGAGACTTGTTTAGCTATTCCTGGAAATGAATATAGGAACTTTGATGCCATGAGACAGGCTTCTCAGTGCATTGGACGTGTGCTGCGAAATAAAACAGATTATGGAATGATGTTGCTTGTAGACAGAAGATTTGCTTTGAATGACAAACGAAAAAAATTACCAATATGGATTCAACAATGTCTAAAGGAAAATACTAACCTTAGTGTTGATGCTGCAATTGCCGTTGCACGTGGATTTTTTAAAGAGATGGCACAACCATGGGAACATGAACGTGACCTCGGTACCACTCTCTTCTCCAAGGAAACACTGGGTCGCAAGGGATTTCTCAAACCTTCGAAGAGTTTGGCTTTTTCAATGACAGGAGGTGCGTTCGATAGTATTACTACTACCACTGCTGCCACTACTACTACTACTACTACTACTACTACTAGTAATAGTAAAGATACCACAGCCACCAATGAGGAGAGCGTTTGTATACATGCGGTAAAAGAGCCAGAACATAAGAAGCGACCCAGAGAATAGTCTTGGTAACAAGACATCTCCCTCCAACACACACCCATATATACATACATATATTTGTTTAAAAAGATGCTGAACCGACTTGAAAAACCGTGAAAATGAAAGAAAAAAAAAAACAATTATGTTTTTTAAAGAGAAAATGATTGAATTCTTCCACCCACCCTCCCTTTCTTTTTTTTTTTTCTTCTTTTATGGGTCCTTTTAGATAGATCTCGAAGAATGGAGGTTCTTTCGGAGGTTATTTTTTCATGGGGCACAGTTTATTTGGCTATAGCGATGCCTGCTTTTGCGATGATTTTAAATTTTGTTATTGGGAGCTGTTTTCTAAGCGAAGTTTTAGCCCACTCCCAATTCGCTGACACTACAAAGAAGAATCGTCGAGGCAATGAAAGATTGTTTATGGTTCTTATAATTTTCTCGTTTATTTGGCAGTATTACACTTACATGTTTCAGTCACGTCTAAAAGACATGGATTGTTGCAATCTTCCGGTTTGTGTTTGGCGTTGGTTTGATAGGTTAATTTGGAGAAAGGAAGACTTCTCATGGAATTTACTCTTTAAATGCTCTTTGGATGAGATGTTTTACCTCTCTTTGTGGTTAACCCACGCTGTTCTTTATTTTTGTTGCGCATTAAGCAACCCACATGTCAAGGAAAAAACATCAAGAAGTTCTTTTTGTCGTAGATGTGATGCACACGTAGACGGTATGGATCATCATTGCATGCTTATCGGAAATTGTATAGGGTCCAGTAACCGAAGAATATTTTTGTGTCTTTTGGGTATTTCTTTCTTGAATATGTTGTTTCTGCTTTTTATGCGGGGCAATTGGGCCTACAGGGAGGGAAATATTCCTACCTTAGTAGGACTACTTGTGGTTGTATTTGTTGCTATAGTGAGTTTTTCTCTACTTATATTTCAATTGTGTCTCATTTGGAAGGGCAAAACTACGCGATCCTTTTGGAAGGAATATTACCAATCTCGTAAAAGTGTTGTCAGGGCTCTTTTTGATTTGGTGAAGTAAAGGTGTGTATTCTCTTATCCCACTTACTAGGGTCAGTGAAGACTCGTCGTTTATTTTCGTAAAATAAATACAAAAAATGTGTATTTATATCTGGAAAGGAGGGAGAGATTATTAAGTAAGTAAATATTTATTATAAAGAGTATAAAAAATTACTTCTTTTTCTTTGTTCTTTTTTTTTTCTTTTCTTTTTTTTTTTCTTTTATTGATCCAAAAAGAACGATGCCAGTGCGGAAGAAGCAGCGACGCGACGTGGTCGTGACAAGTGCCGATGCTATCGATGACGTTGAGGAAAAGAAAGAAATGGTTATGGTACGTCTTGTCGATGAAAATGGCAATTGGGCTGGAGCACAAATTCTTCTCCCTGTTTCTGCGACACCAAGGCAGTTGGATGAATTACTCTCCTCTATGTTGGATGAGGATGCACAAATTAATCCGTACGCATTTTTCATAGATGGTGAACAAGTTAATGATAGCGTTCGCGAGACATTATTTAAGAAACAGCGAGAGGCTTTTGTTGACAAAATGTTAAAAGAAGGTAGACGTGTCCGATCTCAAGATGTGGATAAACTAATGTTTGAATTGCCAGAAGAAACAATTGTGGATATTCAGTTTAAACCCCAAGCCAAATTTCGTGTGAGACCTGTAACAAGATGTGCTGGAACACTTGATGGTCATAGCGAAGCGGTGCTTGTTGTAAGTTTTTCACCCAATGGTGAAGTACTGGCAACTGGTGGTGGAGATAAAGAAATACGTCTCTGGGATGTTAACACATTAACTCCCACAGAAGAGCTTAAAGCTCACACGAGTTGGGTACAGGTGTTATCTTGGTCCCCCGATGGGAATTATCTAGTAAGCGGTAGCAAGGATGGTACTCTTATTGTTTGGACACACGATGGAGCATATGGAAATTTTAAAGGAAAAAAATACAAGGCACATTCAAGCTATCTCTCTCACGTCTCATGGGAACCGTTGCATAAAAATATTGAATGTAATAGGTTTGTTTCTGCTAGTAAAGATGCAAGCCTTAAAGTCTGGCAAACCGTTAATGGTCTTCAATTTTCTCTTTCAGGACATCAAGCATGTGTTACATGTGTGAAATGGGGTGGTGAAGATCTTATCTACTCATCTTCACAAGATCGTAGTATAATTGTTTGGGACGCTTCAAATGGATCTCCACGTAGTATTCTTCGCGGACATGCTCATTGGGTAAATTTTGTTGCATTAAGTACCGATCTTGTAATTAGAACAGGTGCTTTTGATCATGAAGAAAGAAAATTTGACTCTCGCAGAGAGATGCAACAATATGCAGAAACGAGATACCAAGAAGTTGTAAAACGTCTTGGGGGTTATGAACGACTTGTTAGTTGCTCAGATGACAATACCATGTTTTTATGGTCCCCACAGCAGCAGGTCACTCCATTAGGACGTATGACTGGTCACCAAGGTGCTATTTTCCATATTCAATTTAGTCCTGATGGAACCATGATTGCATCATGTTCAGCTGATAAAAGTGTTAAGTTATGGAATGCCTCTGATGGAAAGTTTATTACGACACTTAGAGGTCACGTGGCCGCGGTATATCATGTGAGCTGGAGTTTGGATTCTCGTCTCTTGGTCTCAGGAAGCCGAGATTCTACTTTAAAATTGTGGTCTGTATCGTCGCGTGAGTTGGTAGAAGATCTTTCGGGACACAGTGATGAAATATTTTCCACAGATTGGAGTCCTGATGGTCAACGTGTAGCCACCGGTTCAAAGGATAAAAAGGTTCTTATTTGGGTTCATTAATACGTGTAAGTTTACTTTCGTCTAGCTAAATATATATATATATATATATATATATATATATATATACAATAAAAAGAAAGAAAGAAGTTTGTTGGGAGTTTCTTATAATTAGCATAAAAAAATAGTTATTATATATAGATACTGGTACTGTACTGATTTTTTTTTTTTTTTCTTTGCTTGTTTCTTTCTCTTTCTTCTTTACTCTTAGAAAAAATCGTCTGGAAACAAAAAAAAAAAGAAAAAAAAAAGGTTACAGATAAAATGTCTACTTTAAAAAGTTGTGATTCTCAGGAATTTGCCATAAACAAAAAAACTTCATCTGAGGTACCAGAATGGACAAAAGGGAACTATGAGATTAACTGGGTTGCCGTTGCTGTACTCTTTGTACCTCCGCTTATGGTTATTGCAGCTATTTCAGCAGGTATACCTCTTCTACAAAATACTCTATTAGTGGGTATCTTTTTCTACATTTTCAACGGCATGATTGGTATCACTGTTGGATATCACCGTCTCTTTGCGCACAGAAGCTATATTGGACATCCAATACTGCAGTGGATTTGTGCATTCGCAGGTGCAGGTGCTTTTGAAGGATCTGCAAAGTGGTGGGGTCGTAATCATCGCATTCATCATCGTTATATTGATACACCTAAAGACCCCTATGATGCTACCCGTGGTTTTTTGTTTTCGCACATGGGGTGGATGGTAATGAAACAAAACTATGCTCTCCTTGGCAAGGTTGATGTCAGTGATTTTAAGTATAATAATATAATCCAGTTTCAACATCGTCACTTCTTCAAGATTGCCATGGTGTCTGGCATCATTCTTCCAACCGTAATATGTGGTCTCGGATGGGGTGATTGGCTTGGAGGATACTTCTATGCTTCTCTCGCAAAAATTGTGTTTGTGCATCATTGTACCTTTTTTATAAACAGTTTGGCTCACACAAATTTATTTGGTGGAAAACAAAATTATTCTGATCGACATTCATCTCATGACTCTATGGTATGTGCACTACTAACATTTGGAGAGGGTTATCACAACTTTCACCATGAATTTGCACAAGATTATCGCAATGGTGTAAAGTGGTACCATTTTGATCCAACAAAATGGGTTATTCGTTCCTGTGAAACTTTGGGACTAGCCTCAAATCTTACACGTACTCCAAACGATATAATTGAACGAAACATGAAACAACTTCGTCATAAGAATTATCTTGTGGAAATCGCAAAACTTGAAAAACGGCTAAAAGAACTCGAACCTCCCATTTCTGAGGAATATACGTGGAAAGATATTGAGGATCTTGTCAGGCAAGGCAGAAAGCTCATTGTAATTGGAGATAGTGTGATTGATGTCCAAAAATCAGTTCCCACAGGCCCAGGCTACACCCACGGAGATGAGAGAATTGTCTGGTATGAAGCCCACCCGGGCGGGAAAAAACTTCTTGACATGTACGTTGGAAGAGACGCCACAGAAGTGTTTCTTGGTGGCATCTACAAACACTCCCTGGGTGCCGAGGGTCTTATTCCACACCTCCGTGTTGCAAAGATTAAACGGGAATGAGTCCGTTAGCAAAATGAAAAAGAAAAAAAAGAAAAAAAAAGAAAGAAAGGGGGATCGACAGCAGCGGTACACTCGTTCTGGTTGTCAAACCCTATAAATAGCGTAAAAATAAAAGAAGATGATGAAATTTTTGTGTGAAAAATGTGCATAGGAGATAGTATACGTCGTAGTAAAAGGGAAAGTACTGTAGGGGATTTTTTTTTTTTATAGTTCTTGTACTGGTCTCGTGCCTTGGTTTTTTTCTTTTTTTTTCTATCTCTTTTCTTTTTTTGACGTGGGGGTGATCCAACGATATGACACTAAGACGACATTTCATATTTGCGCTCTAAATGTATATGTGCTGTAATGAGATGAAGAAGTTCACTAAGAAATCCGGATACCATGGTTTCACGGTAAAAAGAAAAGGATCTCTTGGACCAAACATTCTACGTCCCCGTTGGTATTAAAATATTTTTTTTTTTTTTTTTTCTTTCTTTGTTTTAATTTTCCTTTCAATAATTTTTCAAAATCAATTGTCATCTTGTGTTTGACCTTTTGGGGTGTTTTTTGTTTTTGTTTTTGTTGTTGTGGTTTATTCATAATAATAATATTAATTATTATTAATATTATTGTAAATATTATTTTTTTTTTTCTTTTGGTTTTCTTTCTCTGCCTGTTCTTTTTTTTCGTTTTTCTCGTAAAGAGAGTGACGAGCATGTCTGCTCAAAGACGAAATCATGTAGTACAGGATTTTTTCGCAAGCAAAGGTGCCATTCTCGAAGAAAGGCGCTTCAAATCTTCGCTCATTCAAGAACGTTTGCGAAAGCTTGGTGCGTTTCCCGCGGCAAGAAATGTTGTGGTTGACGGGAAAAACGAAGTGGAGAGTCGACTCCCGCGTGAAGTTTATGCGGTGCACCGGAAAGCCTGCGATGCCGGAAATACAAAATACATCGACCCACTAACGGGCCAAATAGTGCCAACACGTCATTTTCACTTGCAGCGTGGTATATGTTGCGGAAATAGATGTCGTCACTGTCCATTTGGTCATGTGAATGTCCCTTCTGCTTCAGGTACGAATTAAAGAAGGGGTTGAGATCGTTATTACGGTAACGATTCATCCTGATAAGTGTGATATTCCTTTATTATACATATATATATATTCTATCACTTTGTGTCTTATCTTTGTTGGAAAGAGTAGTTACTTTCCTCAGGTCTGGTATTGTGGTGGTGCTTTACACCCATATGGACCCTTTCTAGTTTCTTTTTTTTTTTTTTTTCTTTCTCTGCTGTCTTCGAGATAATCATGCATTAATAAAGTTGCATATTTGCGTCATTGAAATAGTTGATTTAGAAATAGCTGATTATATTAATTACTCTTTTTTTTTTTCTCTTTTTCTTTTGTTTTTGTTTTTTATCGTTCTCCAAATTTTACATCCATGCGTTTTGGGTAAATGAGATAGAAAACGAAGAAGGCAAACATCAATAATAATAATAATAATAATAATAATAATAATAATAATAATAAAAATGGCCATATCAGAAAAGGCATGTCTTCGAATCCGTGTGGTTCTATACGTATTGTTTGCTGTTTCATACGCGGTTGGCGCTATTATATTCATAAGAGAGTTCAATAACTATCTTGCCGCATCTGGGTTTGCTATCGCCTGCTTCTTTATCGGTGTAGCGACAGTGTTGTATGCAATACCAGATAAAAAGCTATATTCCATTTTTCCAGCAGGAAGCAAATCAAGAATATGTTTTCAGTTGAGTTCTTTAATTATTACGCTGGGGTTCATTGGTTTGGCCTTGTATGCATTGGGAGAAGGAATTAAGCGGAGACAAGCGTGGAAGGGTGATTCGTATTTCTGCTCATTTATTGCCCTTTTGACATCAGCAAAATGGAGTTTCTTCTGTGGTTTACGTATTCATAGAGTACGTGATGACTTTGTTGAAGACGATGATGATAAGAACATTGAGGAGAAAGTTCGCCTTTTTGAGGGCTCACACGATATGTGGGGTGAGGAAGAAAAAGTAACTGTATAGGAAGACGGATGGGATATATTGAGATAGTTTTACCAAATTCTTTCTTCTTTATATCTGTGTTTATCTGTTTTTTTTTTTTCTTTTTTTGGATGAAACTAGGAACAACTGCTACAAATTTTTAAGTGGGACGTAAGATTCAACTCGTAATCTAATCAACTTCTAAGAAGGTAAAACTCTGAAAAAAAAAAAAAAAAACATTCCAGAAATATGGTAGTATATATATATATATATATATATATATATATTTATTTATTTATTTATGATTTTCTTTCTTTTTGTACTTCTTTCTTTCTGTAATGTACGTCTTGTCTTATTTATTTATTTATTTTATTTGTTTGTTTATATTTATTCTTTCCATCTTGCTTTGGTTTGTGTACTATTATTATTATCAAGGAAGTGGTCTTACATGCATGCAAGTGCCCATGTCAATACTATTTTTGCACTCTTAGTAGTGGTACTCGCATTGACAATTTGGGCGATCGATGTTGACCTAAATCCATGGGGTAATGATGATTGTGTTGAGAAGCCCCTGTGTAGTTCTCAGCATACATTTTTTGGAATAATAAAGTGTTCACTCTATCGCTATCCTGTGAGTGTTGAAAGAATAGATTATAAAAACATGATATTGGCTCGATTTAAACGACTTTCTAGACATTACCTAAAAGGACAAGAACATGTTATAGAAGGTGTTATAAAAGATATTTCTGTTAAACTTGAAAATCCTGATAAACCACTTGTACTACATTTTGCAGGTGATAATGGGGTAGGCAAAACAACACTGGCACAACTCATTTCACTCGCTTTGGGTCTCCGTTGCAGTGACCTTGCATGTACAGTGGGGGATTCCTCACTGGTACTTTCAGGAGTTAGCTACGATGGATTCTCTGTAGCGGAATTTCGCAGAGATGTGGTACAAAAAATTGTTCAACATGCTACACTGTTTCCAAAAAATGGTGTCGTAATCATAAATGATCTTGGTGCGCTACATCCAGATCTTGTACGTGTTCTCCTTCCACTACTGGGAAGAGCATCTTCATTCCCTGAGGCCCCTAGTGTACTATTATCTTCTTTAACGGTAATTATTACAACTGATTTTGGTCGCCAGGGACGAACACAAGGGAAAAGTCTTACTGAGATGCGCCGAATTGTGGAAGATGACTTTAAAAATCTTTATAGTCAATTGTCTTCATCTATGATTCGAACTTATCCTTTTCTTCCTACATCACTGGAAACAGCGAGAGAGATTGTGCAATTGACCATTCACAACTTTAAGTGTAGAAACAAAGATGTAATTAATGATATACAAGCTAATGAGGATGTTGTCTCTTGGTTTATTGATTTGGTCCGGGATGATCTCCCTATGGAGAATGGTCGATGTGTTGCAAATGCTGTAGAAGCAGCCGTTGGCCCTGGCGTTCTGGATCACCTTAGAGAGAAAATTACCGAATCAATGTCACTCCATGTTGATCTTGATGACGATGGTACAGTGAATGTGTTTCGGGTACATTAACTAAATATATAAATAAGGGTTTCCAGATGTCACGAGAAGTCTCCGAAAGCACTTATTGCATATTTCTTTTTTAGTTATCTTGACCTATTTTAATTCTTTTTTTTTTGATTAAAACAAAACAAAAGAAAAAACTCTTTTATTCTCCTTCTTTCTTTCTCTTTTCTCTTTTTGCTCTTCTATATTTCTACTTGCTTTGCAGGAACCTTTATAAAGCGATGCCACCCAAGTTCGACCCCAACCAGGAGATCACCATCGTTGTGCGTGCCGTCGGTGGAGAGGTGCCCGCGGCGGCAGCACTCGCCCCAAAGGTCGGCCCGCTCGGTCTCAACGCGAAGAAGATCGGCGACGACATCGCCAAGTCCACGAAGGACTGGAAGGGCCTGAAGGTGACGTGCCAGCTGCGCGTGAAGAACCGCGTGGCCACCGTCTGCGTGACGCCGTCCGTCGCCTCGCGCCTCATCCGCGCGCTGAAGGAGCCACCACGTGACCGCAAGAAGGTGAAGAACATCAAGCACAGCGGCAACATCGCCTTCTCAGAGGTGCTCAAGATTGCGAAGGAGGCGTCCGCCAACTCCATGGCCGCCAGCATGAAGGCCGTCGTGATGGAAGTCCTCGGAACTGCAGTCTCCATCGGCTGCACCATTGATGGCGAGCACCCACGTGATATTCAGGCTAAGGTCAGCGAGGGTAAACTGAAGGTGCCCAACTAGGTTCTTTTGTTTTACGTTTTTTTTGACTTTTTTTTATCTTATAATCACTGTTATGTTTACCGTTTTGATCACCGTTCTGTATGTTGGAGTCTGGTTTAATGTTCTTGTTCGTGACTGTATTTCATTTCTTTTTCTTTTGTTCTTCTTTTCTTCTTTTCTTCTTTTCTTTATTCTCTTAATTGTACCATTACATAGAGCACAGATGGGGACAATCAGCCGTCCCGGAGGCATGAGGCCTAAGTGGCACAAGAAGCGCATAAAGCGCTTAAAGCGCCGTCGTCGTCGTATGCGCCAGCGCTCCAAGTAAGCAGTAGCAAAACATCAAGTGCCTTCCTTGATGTGAGGAGATGCATAAACGGTGGTGTTCCAGGTGTTACTCATCGGTGCTGTTGTTCTATTTTTCTCACTATGTGAGGTGCTTTTTTAATGTATGTTTTTTTTTTTTTTATAATGGATCAGAGACGGTCATTCCTTCTTGTCTTGTTTAAATCTTCCCTGTAATTCGTCTTCCTATTGATTTTTTCTTTCTTTTCGATTTCTTTGTTCTTTTTTTTTGTATTTATTTCTAAAGGTAGAAAATGGGGACAATCAGCCGCCCCGGAGGCATGAGGCCTAAGTGGCACAAGAAGCGCATAAAGCGCTTAAAGCGCCGTCGTCGTCGTATGCGCCAGCGCTCCAAGTAAGCAGCTGTCTCGGAGGCGTAAAGTAACGCTTTCCCGTGAGTCCATTTGAACCGTATGTTTCTTTTCGTGCTGTTTTGACTTTTTTTTTACCTTTTTAATCACTGTTATGTTTACCGTCATGATCACCGTTCTGTATGTTGGAGTCTGGTTTAATGTTCTTGTTCGTGACTGTATTTCATTTCTTTTTCTTTTGTTCTTCTTTTCTTCTTTTCTTTATTCTCTTAATTGTACCATTACATAGAGCACAGATGGGGACAATCAGTCGTCCCGGAGGCATGAGGCCGAAGTGGCACAAGAAGCGCATAAAGCGCTTAAAGCGCCGTCGTCGTCGTATGCGCCAGCGCTCCAAGTAAGCAGTAGCAAAACATCAAGTGCCTTTCTTGATGTGAGGAGATGCATAAACGGTGGTGTTCCAGGTGTTACTCATCGGTGCTGTTGTTCTATTTTTCTCACTATGTGAGGTGCTTTTTTAATGTATGTTTTTTTTTTTTTTATAATGGATCAGAGACGGTCATTCCTTCTTGTCTTGTTTAAATCTTCCCTGTAATTCGTCTTCCTATTGATTTTTTCTTTCTTTTCGATTTCTTTGTTCTTTTTTTTTGTATTTATTTCTAAAGGTAGAAAATGGGGACAATCAGCCGCCCCGGAGGCATGAGGCCTAAGTGGCACAAGAAGCGCATAAAGCGCTTAAAGCGCCGTCGTCGTCGTATGCGCCAGCGCTCCAAGTAAGCAGCTGTCTCGGAGGCGTAAAGTAACGCTTTCCCGTGAGTCCATTTGAACCGTATGTTTCTTTTCGTGCTGTTTTGACCTTTGTTCAGCATTTTATTTTATTTTTTTTTTTTTTTTATTCGTTCCAGAGTGATTGTGACAGTGGGTGCAAAAAAGAAAAAGAAGGCATTGATGACCATTGATAAATCCTTCTCTGTAATTTTACTTATTCATTTTCATATTTTTTTTCTTTTTCTTTCTTTCTTTTTCTTCATTCCTTCCTTCTTGTCTTTGTTGTTCACTGTTCTAGTTAAGTGGGATGCACCCACGCATCTCAGGACAAGGGGTTTTCCCCCGATATGGTGGTGGATGGATGCATCAGTTTGGACACGTTTATGCCCTGCAGCAGGAGTTACTTAGTCCGCAGTCAAATAACTGGTTTCGGGCGATTGAGTTATGGCACACCGCCCGTCATGAAGGAGTTGCGCTCAATGCTGCTCATTACACTAACATTCTTCGACAGTGTGTGCGACCTGCTGCATGGGAGGCGTCATTGGCGGTACTTCACCAAATGCAGCGTGAAGGCATTCGACCTGATGTTGTTGGGGTAGGTTGTGTGCTTGCATCATGCGCAGAGGCTAATAGAAGTCATGAGGTTGAGGAGGTATTCAAAAAATTTAGTGGCAAGATGAAGCTAGATAGTGTATGCTATCTGGCGTTAATAAAAGCCAAAATGTCTCAGGAAAAATGGACAGAGGCTATTGAAGTTGGGAAACAGCAAGAAGCTGAGGGTATACCTTTTCTTCCATATACATTTACTCATTTACTTGAGGCAGCTAATGAGGCTGACGATGCGATGTTTGCATTAGACTTGGTGAGACGAATGCGCGGAGAGCAATGGGAGTTAGCTGAGAGAGGACGTAGTGCATTTAAGAAGTTGTGTATGCGTCATGACTGGAATGATGAGTATGAACAACTGGTGGGAATTACCGATGACATGAAAGAATTCCCTCAGCTCTCCCCTGGAGACCATGTGTGAAAGAGATTGTAAACAATGTTGTTGCCAATATTGGGTTACAGAGCGTATTTTTGACACAATTGTTTTTCTTTTTTTTTCTGTAGAATTGATAATCATTCATGTCCATTTTTTTTTTTTTTTGTTTTGTTTTGCGTTTCTGATTACTCTCATCATCTGCACTTTTTCTTTTATTTTATTTTATTTTTCTTACATAATATTAGGCAATAGGAAGGTATGCAAGAGAAGAAAGGACGCCAGAAGAGTAGTCGAAAAGAACGTGGTAGTAGTGAAACACCCATAAAAACTGATAGCTCCCGATCACGCAATGAGTCATCAGCTACTCGAAGCGATAGCATAGAGACTGCTGTAAAACCGATACAGAAGGAAAAGAAAAAAACAGAGCAAAAGAAAAGCGGTAATAGACTGTATTTCAACAAAATAAGATTTTGTCATACTGTTGGATTTATCTGCGCTGTTGTGGTAGCTATAGTCTTTTTTTATTTCTTCAATGAGGATTTAAATCAGAGCTTTCCTTGCCATTGTTGCACATCAACGGAGCCGTTAGTGTCTGCCTTTTCGACAAAGAGGTTTGGACTCACTGGCATCCATCTGCAGCGCATGAACTCTGCTTTGGTTGAAAAGCAACTCTCTACCCTTCCCAAGTGTGTCACGCTTCATCGATTAACTACTCCATTTGACAGTGTTACTTCGTTTTTGCAGCGTCTCAAGAGAGACGCTGCTGCTAATAGATGTGTTCTTTGGTTTGTTGAGGATGTGGGAGTAGTACGAGGTGTGGGGAACTCACTGAAAGAACTTTTTGAGGACAATGCTTTAAGGGGGGAACCTGTTTTACCCAGAGGCTCCCGTGGACTGTTTGTTGTAAATTCAGAGAAAAGTCGTGAAGAGCTAAAGGATATACTTCCGCACCGTGTAGTGCATATGTTGCACACAATAAAAGTGTAAAATAGACGTCATGGAGTATCTTGCATTTATTCTTATGCAGATTTTTACGTGAATTGTGATTGTTGTAGATAAGTGGGAAAAGAAGAAAAAAAAAAATGAACACGCTCTGGGGTTTTTGTTATGATGTTACCTCTATATGCTGTTCTTTTTTTCTTTTTATATATATCTATGATTTCTTTTTTTTTTTCATGATGTTGTATGAATTATTACCTTTATTTGTATGTGAAGGTTCTCTTTTATTTTTATTACTGTATAAATTTCTGTTTCTTTTTTTTTTATTATTTATTTTCTTTCTTTGGGTTGATCTCACCCCAACTACACCTGGGCGGACTGATTTACTGCGATAACTATCCCACAGAAGAAGAAAACAAAAAAAAAAAAAAAAGCGTGGAAAACATATATTTTTTTTTCCTTTAAATTACTAAAATGTTCCGCACAGCACCAAAGCTTGCAAACCCCGCATTACGTCAGGTGGCCGCCGCACAGATTGCCGCATCAAAGGAAGCAGGCACATACAAAGTTGAGCGTGTCATCACATCGAAGCAGAGCGCCAATATTAATGTGCAGAACACTGACCAACCTGTACTGAACTTTTGCGCGAACAACTACCTTGGACTTGCCGGCAACCCAGAGATCGTGAAGGCAGCGAAGGACACACTTGATACTCACGGCTATGGATTGGCATCAGTGCGTTTCATCTGTGGTACAACTGATATCCACAAGAAGCTTGAGGATACCATGACAAAATTCCTTGGAACTGAAGACACTATTCTCTACCCAAGTTGCTTCGATGCCAACGCTGGTGTCTTTGAGGCACTACTTTCTCAGGAGGATGCCATTATTTCTGATGCACTGAACCACGCCAGCATCATTGATGGTGTTAGGCTGTGCAAGGCTGAGAGACACCGGTACGCACACTTGGATATGACTGAGCTTGAGACCGCTCTTCAGAAGACACAGAATAAGCGTATTCGTCTTATTGTGACTGATGGTGTCTTCTCCATGGACGGTGATGTCGCACCACTTGATAAGATCGTGGCTCTCGCAGAGAAGTACAATGCCAACATCATGGTGGACGATTCACACGCCACAGGATTTATGGGTGAGGGAGGCCGAGGAACCCCAACACTCTTTGGAGTTGTGGACAAGATTGATATCGTCAACACAACGTTGGGTAAGGCTCTTGGTGGTGCAAGCGGTGGTCTGTCATCTGGATGTAAAGAAATTGTTGATTTGCAGCGCCAGAAGGGTCGTCCGTATTTGTTCTCCAACACAATCGCACCTGCGGCAGTTGGCGGGACACTGAAGGTCATGGAGTTGCTGCAAAACTCTGGTTCTGCACAGAAGAAGTTGCAGGAGAACACGCGGCTGTTCCGCACAGAGATGAAGAAGGCCGGTCTGACTATTGCCGGACATGATGAGTGCCCCATCGCCCCCGTGATGCTGTACGATGCCCGCGTTGCCGCTGAGTTCGCATCACGAATGATGTCGCAGGGCATTTACGTCATTGCCTTCAGTTACCCTGTGGTGCCAAAGGGACAGGCACGCATTCGGGTGCAGTTGTCCGCAGCGCACTCCACCGAGGATGTGATGCGTGCAGTGGAGGCCTTCAAGACGATCAAGAAGGAGCTTAATGTGTAAGTTTCTTTTCTTTTTTTTTTTTCTTTTTTACACTTTCATTATGAAGCAAATTCTTTAAAAGAAGCTGATTGTTATTATTATTATTATTATTATTATTATTATTATTATTATTATTATTATTATTATTATTTTTAGCGTACATCTCATATTTATATGAGATGTACATAAGTATCTTGGACACAAGGATTTGGAAAGAAATACAAAACAAAAAACGAAATTAAACTACATCAAACTTCTTTTGGGTACAGAAGAAGAAAAAAAAAAAAAAAAAAAAAAACAAGAAAACATGAAAAACTACTGTTTTACGTTTACTTTAAACATAGTCATAAAACGAATACATTATACGGGGTATGAAAATATCATCTTAAAAGATTCAGAATAGAGAGAGAGAGAGATCCATAAGCCTAATTTCGGTGTAGCCTTTGGTTTTTTTTTTTTTTTTTTATAAAGCCTGTTATTGTTATTCTTAATATTATTATTTTTCTATTCTTTGGGAATTGTGTATCTACATGTATTTTCTCTTGATATCGTTGTTTCTGATGGCTCTCTTGCATGCCTTCTATTTCTTTTTCTTTTTTTTTAATTTCTTTCTTTCTTTCTCACCCTCCCTCTTGTATATGTTAATTGAGCTTTCTGTAAGAAGTCCCATAGTCTGCCACGCCTTAAATTGGCTAAGAATAAAGAGACAGACTTTATTAACGGGTAATGGCACACGTTGACCAGCTGCTGGAGGAGTATCTGCGTGTTATTAACGCCAAGGATGATGAGATCCATGGACTCATTCGGAGCATTGAGGAGCATCGCTGTGAGTTAAAAAAACGAGAAGACACACACAAAGCAGATATGCTGAATGCCCAACAGAAACTACAAAAGGCACATAAAAGAATCAGGAGAATGGAACAAATGCATGAAAAGGATGAAACCGATATTAATAGACTTGTGAATCATAATGATTCCATGAAAGGGGAACTTCAAGCGATGCAAGAAAAATTAGATGAGTCAGCGAAGATTATGGAAGAAAATCGACAAGAGCATGCTCGAGCACTGGAACAAGTGCGTCAAGAACACATTGTGGAAGTTCAAACTATTAGAAATGAGTGCGATGAATTAAAGAAAGAACAAAAAAATGTATGGCACGAGCGTGAAACAGCTCGAAAGATCATGGACGCATGTGATTCAAGAGAGAAGCAACTACTAGCGAGAGAGGCAGCTGATATAGAACTGAGAAAGTCTTTAGAGGACATGCGACTTCAGATGCAGTCCATGATTTCAAAACAGCTTCACATTGATGCTATTGCTGAGCGTGAAGAGTCTATACGGGCTCTAAAGCAAAACGCTACAATGGAGGCAAATAGTCTAAAAGCAGATTTGTCAAAAATAAAAAAGGCTGCTAATAAATACCGAACTCAACTTGATGAACTCAGATCATTGTATGAACAGTTGCAAAGGAAATACACAGAAGCTTCACATGAAGGGGAAGAAGCACGTCAAAGGTTTGACGCTGAGCGAGAAGCGAGTAGGAAACTTTTGGCTTCCAAGGAGAAGGAAGTTGAAGTTGCTCGTGATTTAACTGAGAAAGCCACAGGGAAGCTTGACGCAGCTATGGAACAAATTCGACAAACTCAAGCGAAAGTACAGGCTGTAGAATACCAATTGGCAGATAAGACAGAGATTCTCGAACAGGAGCGTAGACGTAGTAAACAAGAGTCTGAGAAGTTGTCTTTACAGTTAAATAACATGCACTCTAATATGACAGAACAGCAACGTGAAGTGGAGCGACTACAGAGGCGACTTGAAGTAACTACAGCAGAATTGAAGGAATATCAAGTCTCTCTCTCTAGTGTTAAGGAGGCGTCGATACGAGAGAGTGCAGAATTAAGAGAGAAATTAGCGCTTATCACAGCGGAGCGGGATAGAGTCAAGGAAGATCGTGATCGTATCGTATTTGAACTAAAGGACGCTCAACATCAAATAAGCATGCTACAGGAAAGATCAGCAGAAGATAAGAAAACACTTTCTGCCAAAATTGATGCTGCTAACGTCACTCTTGAGAGAATGAAAGACCAAATAAAGGATAAAGAACATCATCAAGAAACTATATTAGCTGTCCAGGAGAAACGTTTGCAAGAGGTGGCGTGGGCTCACAAGAATGAGATGGCTGAATGTAAAAGAGGATTAGAAAATGAAGTCAATGACCTCCGTCAGAGACTGGAGTCTACCACTTCACGACTCACAGAGGAGGTTTCTAATAATAAATTGCAACAACGTGAATTGCAGGCTGCTGAAGAAGCTCTTCGGAGTTGCCGTGAAGAATGTGAAAGGCGCGTAGCTGAAGCCCGTGAGAATCTGAGATTGTTAGAAGATACAAGACGTGAGGCATTGGCACTTCGTGAAACAGTGACCAAACAACAGCAATTACTTGATGCCAATTCAGAAGTGGAGGTACGATTACGAAAGTCAGTGAGTCAATTAGAAAATGAACGGACAGAAGACGTCAAACGATATGAATCAGTCGTTCGGGCCCTAACAGAGGTCAAAGAAGAACTTTCATCCAAACAAAATGAGACACTTGAATTGAAACATGAACTTAAAAAAACAAATGATGAAAATTCTAAAATAGATTTGACAAATCTCAAAGCAAAGCTACGTGAATCTAAAGAGAACGTACATCAGTTACAACAAGAAGTTATAGAGATGCGACGAGAGCGAGATCGTCAGTTATCGTCTTTTGAAAAATTACAGGAACAGAAGGAAATAACCGAGAAGGAACTTCGAGAATGTAATGAGAAACTTCAACGTGTTAGTGCAGAACTACAATTAAAAGCAGTAGAATGTACTCAGGTTGCCAAGCATGCGAAAGAAGTGGAGAATTTGGCCAAACGAAGTTGTGAAGAACTGGAACGTGAACTTCTTCGTCGTGATAGTGTCATTGAATCTTTACAACATGAACTTCCACGTCTTGGGGATGAACGTGCAAAAGTGGCAGTACTTGAGGAACGTCTCACCCACAAGGCAGATTTAAATCGTCTAGAATCTGATGCTTTACGTGATCGCATCTCTTTACTTGAGAAGGAACTTGAAACACGGGAGGAACAACTAAAGAAGCAACTGAGTGAGATGGAAGTAATGTCAGAACGACATCGTGAGTTACAGGAGCGTGTAGACAATATGGAGGAATTACTAAATGAAAAAGAAAAAAAACATGCAATGCGAAAGGAAGCACTGCGTAAAGCGCTAGAGCAGGTTGATGCCGTTGTAGAAAGAAAGAAAGAGGCAGAAAACAACTTAAAAAAGACGAAGATGTCATGTGAACAAGGTGTTGAAGTGTATAAATCCAGAGTAAAAGAACTACAGGAAGAATTACAGAATACGCGTAAGTCTCAAGAAACTGCAGAAGCACATCTTTCATTACGTGAACAGGAGTTGGTAGAAACAAAAAGACTTGCTGAACGCAGTCAGGGTATGTTGGAGGAACAGCTAGATCGAGTTAAGCAGCAGCAGACTGCACAGCTTACCAAAAATACAGAAGAATTACATGAAGCAATGAACCGATTGAATGTGTTAAACCGCGAATTGGAAGATGCAAGAGAAGCGCTTCGTGTATCAGAGGAGAGAAAAGAAGAAGCACTGCAGTACGCTGGAAACACTCAGCGCAGAGTTTCCAATTTGTATTGTCGTTTAGTTACAAACTTTGCAGAAGATGTAATGTTGACAAAAGAAATGTTTGGCGACTTTGCTATTGCCATTACTTCGCGTGCATTCCATCAATTAGGCCGAGTCACTCACAATGGTTGGGAAATTGCCGCGTCTTTTAAACAAAACTGTACGGAACAATTGCAGCAACAACAGATAAAGGTCTATCGTGAAATGGATGAAATGAAACGTCGTCACAAGGAGGAAATGCAGGCTGTTGTGGATGATCGCAATAAAGAACTCTCCAAGATTGCCTTGCAGCACGGGGCGGACATTGCACAACTCCGACAGGAGATTGCGGACGTGACGGCACGTGCCTCCCGCGAGACGGACGCCGCACTGCGCGACTACCGCCGCAAGGAGGAACAGTTCCATCGCGACAAGACGGAGTTGGAGTGCGCCAAGTTGGAGATTGCCCACCACGAGGATCAAATCTCAGCACTGAAGGAACAACTGCGCGGCTTCGAGCTGCGGTCCGGCGAGGCGCGCACCCACACCGAGGCGGAACTGCGCACGGCACTGCGGGCCAAAGAAACACTGCAGCTGCAATTGGAGGAAACACGCCGGCAGATGCAAACACTGCAGCAGCAACTCGCCGCAGCGAGACAGGGGGCACAGCAGACGGGTCACACCGCCGCAGCGCAGCAGAGTCGATTGGAGGAGCGCGTCGCAGAACTCACAAGATCAGCGAACGGGCTTGAGGTAGAGAAGCGGCGGTTAGAGCGACAGACACGCAACGATGAGAAGAAGATTGCCATGTTGGAGAAGGAGCTCGCAGAAGTGCGCAAACGAGAGGCTGAATTATCAAGTCAACTGCAGGCACGCAAGGCAGAGAACTCAGCACTTAAAGAGCGGTGCGCAAATCTTGAGTCTCTAAAAAACATTAGTGAGGTAACCCTTGCAGAAACACGATTGCGTGAAAAAGATCTCCTCGAGAAAATGGAGGAGATGCGTAGCGCACAACAACTTATGCAGCTTTGCTTTGATAAACAACAGGAACAGCTAGAAGTGGGCCGTCGCATGCATGAGCAAGATGTAAATCGTAGTGGTTTCTTCTACAAGGATGGTCGCTGAGATTTTCTCATATAGTTTTTCTTAACCCCCTTTATTTTTATTTATCTTCTGATGGGGTATTTCAGTTTTTTTTTTTCTCCTTCTTTGCGTCTGTTTTACGCAATTAAGCATACATGCTTGCATACATAGGAATATATATATATATATATTCTACCTACCTATCTATCTGTGTGTATGTGTATTATTTATTTATAGAAGAAGAAGAAGAAGAGACAAAGAAGGGTGTTGTATATATTCTTTTATTTCTGCATATTCGCCATACGACTCAGAGTTATTAGAGTCTTGTATCCAATCCCTTTTTTCTTTCCTTTTTTCATATCTTCATTTCCTCATTTATATTTTATTCTACTAATGGTATAATGAATGTTTGGTTTATTTTTCTCTTTTCTTGTCCCTCCCTTTTTTTTTTGTTCTTTCTTTCTTTATTTCTTCCCTCTAAAAATGACAGTGCAATAGTAGTGGTACAAATGGATGAAATGCGTGATGGGATTAGCTATGCCTGGAAAGGGGCGATGCGTGGGGCGAAAAAGGGTTACAAAATGACAAAAAATGTGCTGCGCAGTATTCCTGTTGATCGGCTTCGCGTGCCCGGTGCCAGCAGTATGAGGAAGAGCAGCAGTGGAGCCCTGCGGCGTCTCTTTCAGCTGCGGTACGGCGCAGAAATCAACAACGAGCATGGTGAGCGCGTTGCGGCGGCGGAGGTGAGTGATGTGGAGTCGGAGGAGGAAGAGGCCTTAACAGACGAGCAAGTTCACGAGCGGGTGGAAAAGAAATTCTTTGACAAATCCTATGATGCTATGAGGTATGAAATCACTCATATGGAAGTCGTTCTTGACAATAGTGATGATGTACAGCAACAACAACAACGTCAGCTAACAGAAGCGGCAATACGAGAGTTGCGGCAAAAATGTGATGTTGTGAGTGCGACGCTAAAAAAACGGGTCTTGGCAAATCGTAAGGGTTTTGTTAACGGTGTGGAGGAAATTCGTCTTATCAATGATAGACTACTGGAGACATCAAGTGATTGTAAAAAGGGTAGAAATTTTATCCGAAAGGCTAAAAATGGGGCAGCAGAACAAATGAAAATATTAGTTTACCATCGTAGGCGTGGTAACTGCGAAGCAACACTTTCACTCCTTAATGCAATGAAAGAACTTTGTTGGAAGCGTAATCAGTTATTGACGCTTTTAGAAGGTGGTAAACTTATTGAAGCAGCAGATCTTTTGCGTGTACAAGGTGATATTGAACAAGAAGATAGAATTAAGAGGTTACACTGCATGACTCATGTCATAGATGAGTGGAAAGAATATCGTGATAATAATAAGGTACTGCAAAAATCTCAAGAGACGGCATTACAAGAATGTCTAACAACAAAGTTTATTCCATCTAAGTACCGAAATGCTTTTGAGGCATCAATCGTATTGAAGACTGAAAATTATATTCCAAGTCTTATAGCACAAACTTTTTGGCAATCAGCAGTGTATATACTCACCAAGTCACTTACAGAGGTATCACATATAAAAGATGAAGATGCTTGTATAGCTGATATCGCTGCAGCTATTGATCCTGATCACTTGATGCTTTGTTTATGTCAAATGTCAGCTAAGACGATGGATTTCTTATTTCTTTTTACTACAGTGCGAAAAATGCATAATGATGATAGTCGTTTGAATAACTCATTAGCTTCACTACATGCTGCAACATTAAAAGAAATTACTCATGTGGGTCAGAAAATTGGACATGATCTTGTAGAAAAAATTACCCTTGTATTGGAAAAATCACGCTTTGAATATGTTGATGTTGAACGAGTTTTACACATATATTTTGTAGTGAGTATGCTTATTGAGGCAATATCAGTACTAGGTCTTGAAAAGAATGATCAGTCCAATGCCCGTTCACAGATAAAAACATCTCTTGTTAAATATATTACACATCAGTTTCAAGAGCCTAAGGCGGCTCAAATATTAAACTTTATGGCAGATGATGCATGGGTTGTGGACGATGTAAGTGCACTAGATATGCAAGTTGTAGTTCCACTTCATCCAGAAACATATCGGCATACTGTAAAGGAAGTTAAATCATACCTTTCAGAATCTTCTATTGAAACCCCAGGTAGTCGTGAAAATCCCTTTTATACTACTCAAATGCTTATATTACAAGATACGGCGCGTACAGTAAAGACAGAGTCATTTCGTGAGGAAATTGCCCGCCGTGGGGTACAAGATGTTCCATCACTTTTAACCCCATCAGCAGTGGCAGTAGCAAATGTACTGTTAGAATATGTGGCAAGAATAGTAGCTCGATTTGCACCTCTTGCAGCGGATACACTTTCTTGGGCAGAAGATCTTATTTCTCTATATCTTTACACAGTGGCTGATAATTTTGTTTCTATTTCAAGAACGGTACATCTTGAAAATCAAGGTGACTTTAGTGAAGCAACTCAAATAATGTTTGCAGAGATGCGTATAGCAGCAGAAAGGACTGTACGACAAAATACCAATTCTGCCACAATATCTTTTAATGGAAGTGTTTCAGTATTAACATCAGATGATGACATCTCTGCACGTTTTCCCCCTCGTGTTTGGGGTCGTATACGTGGGATTATTACAAGTGAAGCACATCAATATGCGATTGTTAATCGAGCTGTGGCTGGACAATCGTGTATAACTTTAGTTTATCTTCTTGAAGCAATGGTGTATTCTGTAGCCCCATTATTACCTCCTATTACGGTGGACCAGTGGGTTCAGCGGTGTAATAAATTGAAAGCGGTTTCTGTAGAATTATTGCATGTTGGTCTTCATCGATTGTGTTTGGCAATGTTTCCAATGGAAAACATTGCTCAGAGTATTAGCAAACTACGAGGTAATGAAAAGGAAGTTCATGCTAGTTCCTACGTTAAACAGTTAGTAGAAGAGATGAGTGCTCTTAATGCAAAACGTCACGTTATGCCAACACCAGAATTAGAGCGACTTCTTTTAAGGCATTTTATATTTGCTGTACAAACAACCTTATTAAAGGAATATGCCAAATTAGCTAGAAAGAAGCCTACAGATGCTCTAATAATGCAGATATCAGTAGATGTACAGAGTTTTCAACAACTAGTGGGGGCAAAATTTGGGAAAGCAGTATTTGTTCTACCAGATTATGTGACTAGTGTAATAAAAGCCGGTTTTGTTGAAGGAAAAGAGGAACGTTTGGAGTGGGTGAAAACGCGTCACGCATCTTACTGTGCAGCTGATCTGGTGCAGTGGTTCTCTGCTGGTGATCGTACCATGAAGGTGCAATTGGAGGACCTTCTAGAAGACTTAAAACATAAAGATGCGATTCCTATCGTAGCGTTCTGTTAATATGAATTAACACTGACGTTTCATGGCGTTACTTTTAGTGAGTAAATTATATACATATCTATATATATATGAGGAGGAAGGTGGTGGTGGTGGTGGTGGTGGTGGTGGTGGTCAAAGTTGTATGAAGTACTCTGAACGAACGTGAAGATGAAATGATAGATGTTGCGTTATCATTGGTTGTTCGTTTTTTTCTTTGTTGTTTTTTTTTTTCTTTTTTTTTTTTTGCTTTATTGGTTGCCGCTGCATTCATTTGTTTTATTGTTATTATTAATATTATTATATTGCATTTCTCCTTATTATTTCCTTTACACGTCTGTTTTCAATGTCTGTCTTCTCCTTTGCCTTGAAAGAACGTTGTTGTTTGAATATATCTATTTCTCTCTCTCTCCTTTTTTATATTTTTCTTTTTTTATTCTATTTGTTGTAGGGGAAAGCGAGTAGGAATGAAGAGCGTCTTCGTGGCCTCCACGATGGTGGCGGCGGCGAGTTGGGCGTACGTGCGGCACATGCAACTCCCCGCCGGCCCCACACGACTGCATTGGGGGGCGCAAGTTTTTGGGCACCGCGGCTGCCGCGGCGTGCCGGGCGTGCCGGAGAACACGCTGGACGCCTTCAAGTACGCACTCTCCCGCGGGGCCGCGGGTATTGAGGTCGACGTGCGGCTCACAAAAGACAATGAACTCGCCGTCTTTCATGATGTCACGTGCAATGGTCACTTGAAGGGAGTAGCGCCAACAAGGCGCATTGATGAGCTCACACTACTGGAGCTTAAGAATCTCCCATTTTTAGTGGACCCAACAGGACAGATACGACTTCCAACGTTAGAAGAGTCATTACTATTCTGTAGGGAGAACAATCTCAAGATGCTCATTGAAATTAAGGAAATGCGGCGTCCACGACTCTGTGCAGATAAAGTACTAGAGTTGTATCGTCGTTACCCAGATTACATGTATGAACAAACAACTGTCATCGCGTTTAGCCCATCAATATTATATTATGTACGACAACGAGATCGAAATGTGGCAGTGGGACAAATTCATTCAGGTCGCGTTTTACGTTCCTGGATTGCCTCAGGGGCAGAAGATGTACCATGGTTCGTTCGTGTCTGCCCCAGTTTTTTGGATCGAGTGCTGAATTATGTTCAAGAAAGCATAAATCCTTGGGTTTCTGGAGTCTCACTGGTATGTCCATGCTATGAATTATTCTCTGAAACATATAAGCGCCGATGGCACACACGAAAGGTTGGCGTAGCCCTTTGGGGTTTCACGGATCCTGCACAGTGTACCCGCGAAATGCGAGTCCCTGGTGTACTTATCGAATGTGATGATCACCATGAAGAATTCACAACACCCAAGCAACCTCCAAATTTTGATATATTTGGTGACAGGGCTCGTGAGCGGGAGAGAGAGGAAGAAGAGCAAAGACGGCGACTAAAGTTGGGTTCTGAGTGAACAAAGGAAGGGAAAACGGAGAGGGAGGGGGAGAAAAAGAAAAAAAATGAATGTGATACAAGTGGATAGTGCGGTGGTGAGAGGAGAATGTTACACTCTTCTTTTCAACTACGTGTATCGCGCTCTCCTTTTACATTGGGGGTTCCTACGTCTGATAATATTTATATATTTCTGTATTTGTATGCCTGTGAGTGTGCGTGCGTGAATCTGATTTTCAAAAAAGAAGAAGAAAGAAAAGGCAATGTTGGCTGTATTTGTATCTTGCATAGTAACTGTTACAGAGTTGACCGTACACACGATACTATGCACCTGCTTCAACGATTCTGCCGCAATTCCATGTCACTGCACCTAAAGGAAATAACAATATAACTTTGACTTAGCTGTACATTGAAACGCTCACGTGGTGGTGGTATAATCATCCTTTTTGTTTTTGTTTTTGTTCTTTTTTTTTGTTTTCTGTGGGTATTTCTTTTTTTATTCGTCAGACGCAAGGATATATTTCTGTATAGGATAAGGATAGTTCATGGGTGTGTCTTCTTCAAAGAGGTATTCTACTTCTAATGTTCCCATCGTTTTACCATCTGTTTCGCGAATAACAGATATGAGCAGTGGCACTCGCTGCAGTGGTTTATCGGGTGTGGGTTCCCTGAGTGGCAGTAGGCCGCCGTATCGTCTCATATACGAGTGGCAAGAGGGTCTACCGGATATACGCTCCGTGAGTAAGGTTCCAGATAACGATATAGTTTCTGACGGCGAAGCCGAGGGTCTAGCTTGGGATCTCTCTCTTGCCTATTACGAAAATTTGGCGACTGACAAGGGTGAAAAGGTACGTTATGTCTCTGCCGTGGGGCTCAAGACACCAGATGCTTCCTTTGTACCAAGATCACGAAAAAACCAGAATCGTAATGAGTGTTGCTGTTAATCATCGTTTGTGATATATAATATGTATGCTTATTCATATGTCTGTAGATTGGTTCTCTTACTAATGTCATCCACAATATTTTCCTTCTTTTCCTACACTTTTTCCCCCGTCGATCACATTAAACGTGGAAGGCTCTTTTTCTCTCACAATGAGTGAGTGAGTGTGCCCGAACTGCAACCCCTTGACTTGGTGGATGGGGTGCTTATGCCTCTGATTGAGTCTCTGTCTTTCTCCATATATAAACATGACAATGATAAATGGGGGTATTTATTATTTTGTGTGTCCCTGTCTTTGCAAGTTGGTAAAGCAATATGGGGCTGTTCTACCCTCTATTTTTTTTTTTTTTTTTTGACTTCGTCTAATGTTAAAATCTCTTATTTATTCTTCTTTTATCTTCTTTTCTTTCTCCCTTCACTTTTTCATTCTTTCGAAAATTCATTCTTAATATTTTTTTTTGCTCCTTTCCTTCTTTCATCCCTTTCTTTTCCACCTTTAGAATTATCCCCATATCTGAGCAAGTTATTAGGATTCATTTGGGGTGTTTTTTTTTTTTCTTTTTATTATTTAATTGCGCGCATGAGTTCACGCAATGATATGTCATCTACAGCATCGCGGGATACACTGCACCGCACTTTATACCTACGCAGAGAGTATGCCCTTGTAACGAAGTGCGGGGAGTTTGAAGACATACTGCTAGTCCCGCCACGCGATGACTGCGATGAGTATCAGCAAAACTGGTGGTGTGGACTGCTGAATGTAACGAGATTCCCATCACCGTGGTACCGTGGGGTGTTCACATTCCGGGTGTATTTCCCGTCCAAGTATCCTTTTGAGTCACCGGTGGTTTGTATGGAGTTGCCTCTCAAGAGCCACCCGCTGTTGCTGGAGGACAGCGAGGGAAGAAAGTGTGTGGTTCCATTTGATGATATTTACATTGGACTTGACCCCATGCGGGTATCAGTAATGGCGCGGCTGCTCCATCACGTGCGATCTCTCTTTTACCCCTCAGAGTGGCCGGCGGTAGTGCATGTGAACAAAGCTCTCGCCCGCTACGATGTGGAGCGACGCAGCGCCACACAAGAGGTGGTGTTGGGAAAACCGTACGTGGAGTACCTCTCACGAGAGGCAATTGCGTTCTTTACAGACTCAGATTCCTTTGAGAGGAGTGAAACTTGTATGGACGCATCAGGATGTCGGGATGAGCAGTGGGAAAAACGATTCTCGCTGTGGCTTGGTCGAACTTGGCTTCCATCCGTGAGAATCCTTCAGTGAAGTTTGAAAAAAAAAATTATTTATCCCCCCAAAGCTAGTTCAAATATTGACTTGATTTCATTGATAATACTCTATTTCTTCTTGCTCTTGTTATCTTTACAGTATTTGTACTTGTAGTGTACGCATCATGTCTCCCTTTTTTTTTTTTTACTGTTTTGCTCCTCTCATGCTCTTTATTTATTTATTACGTTCTTACGTGTGGGGGATGTGAATCATGAAAAAAAAAAAAAAAATGCACGAATGCAAACTAACATCCACATTTCTCTTTTTTTTTCCCTCTCTCTCTCTCTCTTTCTTTATTTCTCCTTATATATGTGTGTATGTATGTAGGGAATGACATCGGCCTCATCGAGCTGCAGTGCGTCATCGCGGCTGCAAAAAGAGTTCATGGAACTCATGATGAGCCCCGCCGACGGCATCTCCGCCTTTCCGCAGAACGACAATCTCTTCCACTGGATCGGCACTGTGCAGGGCGTCTCGCACACACCGTATGAGGGACTAGAGTTCCGTCTCTCTATTGAGTTTCCGCCAAACTACCCGTTTGAGGCTCCACTCGTGCGGTTCCTCACCCCGTGCTTTCATCCAAATGTCGACACCCACGGCGCCATTTGTCTCGATATCCTCAAGGACAACTGGAGTGCAGTGTACACCGTCTCGAAGATTCTCCTCTCCATTCAAAATCTCCTGGACAACCCAAATAATCAGTCACCACTCAACAACCGTGCGGCCATGCTGTGGGCAAATAAGGAGGAATATCGACATGAGGTGCTTCAGGTCTACAGGGAAGCGAAGCGAAATACGTGCTGATAAAAAGTACAAGTATCTATGAGGGAGGAGTATAATTGAAGAAAAAGAAGAAAAGAAAAAAAAAAAGAAAAAGAAAAAAAAACAAGAGATTTCTCCACTTGCGTGTAATACGAAAAAAGGAGTTTCTGTGTATTTGTGTCTGCTGATAGAGTGTAACAAGTGAAAGCGAAAGGGAAGAGAAACAAAATGGGAAGAAAGAGTAACGAAAAATGTGGACTATATTTGGTTCTCTATTTAACTGATTCTTTTTTTTTTCTTTTTTTCTGTGTGTATATGTGTATGTGTGTGAAATAGAAAAATAAAAAGGAAGGGGGAAAAAAAAAGGAACGAGGCTGAGCGTTGACGTCTAGCTATTATAAACTGTCACGTTATACTCCTAACTTTTTAAGAGAATTTCATTTTTTTTTTGGTCTTTTGCATTTATCTCAGAAAATCCCGTTGCATCACGTTGGGCAAGCAGTTTTTTTGTGGATTTGTATTTTGCCCGGGAAACATGAGCAATTTGTCTTTCCTTTCGCTTTCACTTTTGTTCTGTTTTTTTTTTTGTTTTGTTTTCCAGTTATTATTATTATTATTATTATTATTATTATTATTCGTGTTCCACTGTTCACGTTTTGTTCTTCTTTTTCTTTTGTCCTGCTTTTGGGTGTAGCTATTATTACTTTGATGTTCCTATTCCTCTTATTCATTGGTCTGCGATCATTGCTAGCGAACCATATTCCTTTTTCGTTTCTTTCTTTGTTTTTTTTTTTTTCTCCCTATAGAAACTATTTTTCTCATTCACACGTGTACACTGCGGTACACGTAAAGTCCTATTTTAAAAAAAAAATAAAGAATAGGCATATATTATATATATATATATATATATAGAGAGAGAGAGAGAGAGAGAGAGAGAGAGAGTGTGTGTGTGTGTGTGTGTGTGTGTACTCTTTCTTTCTTTCTTTTCTGTCACTTAATATAGCTGGTTGATTACCACAATACAGAGATGGAGAAGCTGCAGAAAGAGCGTGATAAACTCCTTCTCTATGCTTTGCAGAACCCACCACCGCATGTAACGGTTATTCTGCCGCCTCGCTCAAATCCATTGACGGAACTTGACTTATCGCAAATGGAATCTCCACTACCTCTCTATACAACTGCATCTGAAAGTAAACCAATGATAATTAAAGTGGAAGGATCACCACCAATGTTGACGATAAGCGAAGGTAGACGTACCAGTACCAGCTATGATAATGATCACTACAGCAGTGGTGGGAGTAGTGGTGGTCACAAAGTAAAACGAAGAGGTGTAGAAAGATTCTCAAGTTTTATGGCAAATTTACTTCGAAACGTACAAGGACAAAGTAGCGCTAAGGAGGCGCCTGTAGGGAGTTCCAGAGATACGGTTAGTAGTTTCTTTTACCCAGCAGAGAAACATAGACGGAACAGTGCGGGAGAACATAGACTTCTTTCAAGAAGTCTAGTCGATGGTTCCTCTATATTTTCTTCAGAAAAACCCCAACATCGCAATCCTTTGCCAATTGAAGGACTACATGAGTTTACAATTACTGAGTATATTGCTCCATATTTGACAAATGATGATTACCCTGCACGTGATCCACTAAAGTTTCCTGACCCTCCATCTATTGAGTTATGTCCTGTAATTGAAAATGACGTACTTAATGATTTTGGAGAGAATTACGACAAACAGAATGTGTTATTCTATGAACACATATTACTTGGTGTTGATGTTTTTATTGGACCACAGGCTATGCGTTATGAGAAAGAGGTATGTTCTGGATTTCTAAAAGCCTTTAATATTAGCGATGCGCAACATGTTCGTAGTCTTCAAAACCTTAAACAACTAACATTAGATCGACGTGATTTACCTATATCTATTGATATTACAACTATACAACGTCTAGTTGATACTAGCGTAGATAAAGAATTTGTACAACGAATGAAAAAAATACTACGTATTTCCCGCAAACATCCAGATACCCCCGGTGGAAATGAATATCCACTGGCATTACGTGCCTTCATCTATGCAGGAGCGTTATGCCCACTTTATAAAATTGACACACGTCGTGGTGGAGAAACTCTACTGCAAGAAGAACAGGTGAGTTATACACTGACAGCATTACGAAGAAAACTCGGTATATCAAGTGCCCTTGATCCATTTTGTCGTTTGCATGCTAGACTTCTTTCAATGGATGAAAAAGCTGAATTGGAACGACAACGTGCTTTTCTTAAAGAGATTGCGACAGCCGTAAACGCATTGTCAAGATCAACTCAATCTCTTGGAAAAGTACCACTCACACCAGAAACTAAATATAAATTATACATACTTCAAGAGATATTTGAACTATGTTGTATACCAATGACACTTATTAGTGCTATTAACTCTGAACATACTATTATTTGTGTATCGGCACTATTTCTAGAATCTTGCGTATCCTTACCTTCAGAATTTCTATCAGTTTATGTACGAATAGATGGACGTCAAATTTTACCACCAACAAGTTCAGTAGATGACTTTCTACTTGTATTACTTATGGTTTTTGTGGGGCGCTCTGTTTTACGCACTTTTAGTAGTCCAAAGTTTCTAATGAACTCTGCTGAACCACCGCAACAACTTTTAGATAAATTGACAAGTGTAGGTGATCGAGCCCGTGCGTATTGTGAATTACTCTCGCATAGTGTTCAACATGCCGTTGTTCTTATTTTGCCTGGAATTTCACTTGCAGCATCGCATGTTATTGCACAACATTGGGCAAAGGCTATACGTGGAGACAAAACACCTGATGATTTCGTTGAAGGGATAACAGCTCTTCTTTCTTTTCTTGCTAAGTTTTCTTCCCCTGGTGTAGAAAATGATAAAGAGATGAGTCGTGCTTTACTTTCTAGTACACGTCGTCAACTTTCATGGATTGCTCCATTAATTGAAAGGTACGACTATTCTGTTAGAGAACAGGTGCGACAGAAACTACGAAAGGCAAAATTGAGCCTTCAGGATGTTGGGCACTTCACACGTGATGCTCAGTTTCTTGTAGTGGCTTTAGTAGAGGAAATTGTAGCACCTATGCCTTCACCACTTTTGTGGTGGGCACAAGAATTAGTTTTTCAACGTCTCTCTTATGTATCCGATTGTATAAATGATACCGCTGGATTAGTAAAAGGTCGTTTTGTGCATCCTAATATTCAAAACGAGGGAATTACACAACAAAGTGGGTACATACAAGAGTATAAGAGATTACTAGAACTTGGCGAAAAGATGTCTGTACCTCCTCTGTCATTAGATGATATTACATTACGTTTGAACTCTCTCTTTGTTTTGAAGAGTGGATGGAAACGATACTTGGCATTTACTAAAGAGGATTACCGATTAGTGCGTGGAGTTACAGGAGTACCTGCTATTTCCTTTGAACATCTTGTCAGGTCTACTGGAGAGCACCTTGCAGAAATGGTGTTTGCTCTTTGTGAATATGCTGCTGTTGCTATAATTCGAGTGGAAATTGGAAGTCTTCTTTTTGAAAAATTCTTGAAAACAGATATGCGTCTCCTTCGATCTATGAAAACAGATAAAACTTCTGCATCAGGGCGTCGTCATTTACCCCGAGAATTTCCTGATGTTACAATGAAACTTATTTTACAAAAGTTAGAAAGTTCATTTGGTACGCTTGCGGAACAACTTAGCGACTCCACTATGGTAAGAGAAGTACGCACAAGAGCTTTACTACATTTCGTTGCGTCCCTGTTTTATGTATTCCTTGAAGGTACACACGATCGTCTATTTTGCCCAGAAGAGGTGGATTCTATTCTAGAAGATTTAGACAATGTAGATGCTTTTATCCAGAGCTTCCAAACAACAGAATCCGATGTAGATAAGAAGCATCATCCTATTGTACATATCCGGGAGTTGCTGCAGAACTTGAGGCAAATTGTTCGCTATTGTTTTTCACAGACAACTTCTGTTCTCACGGATGGTGGAGAGGGGGTTCCACCCTTTGCACAGCTTCCAGAAACCTCTGGTACCTCTCCGTGGTGTAAATATATTGTTCGGCGCGTCCTTGACCACCGAAATGATAAAACACGTAGGTTTTCCTTCATTACTCACAATTTTTTTCGAAGAGATGAAGCATAATCACTTTCTGCAGGTTTAAAGAGTAGAGGGGAAACAAGAACAAGAACCGAAAAGAAAAAAAAGTGACAGTGCAACGAACGGTTTTTTTTTTTCGTTTATTTTTGCAGTTACTTCTTCTGGATTTATATCCATTCTCCGGATATCTCTAGTATAATATATTGCTTGTTTTCTTTTTTTTTTTGCTTTTGCTTTTTGCATAGGCATTCTATGATAATAAATATTATGCAAACTTCAGCATTTAAAATTATCTGCTTTTATGTCTCTTTTTTTTTGTCTATTTTGCATGATGCCTAGTTTCATCCCTCCTTTCCTCTTTTTTTTTTTTTCCTCCTGCATATCCCCACTTTGTCTTGTTTCTCATTATTATTAATTTATAAATATTCTTTCTATATGTTTTTCCTCACGTTAAAGATTATTACTCTCACTCCCCAATTTCTGCTCTGGTTTATTTTTATTTTTTTTTCCCCCCAACACCTTTTTTTTTTCTTTTCTCTCTTTCTCTCTATCTCATTATTGTACCAAAAGCTGAAATCAAGTTTATTGTTTGTACCAAAGATCATGCGTCGGACGCTGTCTTCACTTGCGGGAATCAGCGGGATGGCGGTGTACACCCCACCGTGCCGCGTGGCGCTGCAGGACTGGTGTGCGTGGACCGGCAACGACTGGAAGAAAGTGTCAAGTGTGGTGGGCGAGTCTTTCCGCATCACGACGCACAACGAGAATGCGTACACGATGGCCGCTTCTGCGGTGCTGCGGCTTGTGCTGAACTACGAGATTGACCCCGCGCGTGTTGGTTTTCTCGGACTCGGCACGGAGAGCAGCACGGACAACTCCGCCGGCTCCATCATTGTGCGGGGAATGGTCGACAAGGCGCTGCGGGAACTCGGCCTGCCGCGGCTCTCGCGCCACTGCGAGGTGCCGGAGTTCAAACACGCCTGCCTCGGCGGGGTGTACGCCCTCAAGAGTGCCCTCCGCTACGCCGAGCTCGACGGCGGCGACGAGAGAGTCGCGATTGTCGTCGCCTCCGACGTGGCCGAATACGCCCTCGGCTCCACCGGTGAACAGACACAAGGCGCCGGCTCCGTCGCGATGCTCGTCGAGAAGACACCGCGTCTGGTGGAACTGAATACAAAGTGTTCCGGATCCGCCTCAGACTATCGGGGACCAGACTTTCGAAAACCATTCAAACGTCACTTTATTAAGGAGTATGGAAGTACCACAGAACATGGTAAGATTCCTGATTTTCCAGTTTTTTCTGGCCCCTACAGTACTATGGTATATCTGGATGAAGTAACTATGGCTGTGGAAAATATGTTGGCTAAACTTAAACAAAATCCTGGTGAGTATTATAACTCTGTTTCCGCACTCTTCTTTCATCGACCATATAATATGATGCCAATTCAGGCCATGTCTTTCCTTTATGCCCGTGGTCTTGCTCGTGCCACTTCAGAAGCCCATAAAAAGTATTTTGAGGAACTTTGCACAACAGCAAAGGTTGATCCTACAGTTGTTCAAAAAGAACTTGATGTGATTCCTGATTATTTTGGTATGATTGAATCAGGTAGTGAACCTAAAGATGTGTTTGCTGCCACTAACAAAGTTGCCAAAGCTGTTCGTGCTGATAAAGATTTCATTACACTCCTTCGCACAAAAATGAGCCTTGGTAGTCCAGCAATGGCAAACTTTGGTAATTTATACACGGCATCACTTCCCTGCTGGATTGCCGCCGGATTTGAGGAGGCGTATAATAAGAAAATTGATCTCACGGGACATCCAATGGTAATGGTTGGCTACGGTTCTGGTGACGCAAGCGAGGCGATCCCAATGGTTCCAGTAAGTGGATGGGAGAAGGCCGCGTCTAAAGTAAATGTCGCCGCAGCACTGGAAGACCCCGTGAATCTAACCCAGGAACAGTACGAGGGACTACACAAGGGATCACTAAAGGATGACCTCGCTGCTGACAAACGACACAAGGAATTTATCGTGGGTCATGTCGGAAGCCGTAATGAGGCTGCATTTCAAGATATCGGTATTGAGTATTATCAGTTCGTGAAGTAAAGAATCTGAAGAAGTCAAAGAAGAAGTGAATGGGGAATAATAATAATAATAATAATAATAATAATAATAATAATAATA